TATATGAAGATATTATTTGTGTTTATGAAAAAATTTACGTGATAGTTGTATAAAAGATTTTTAAATTTGAAAACACTAAATTATCTTATATAGAAAGTGATATGTTTTAATTATGTTACACGATATCTTAATAAAGGTGAGAAATGAACATACATTAGATATAATATAACTTATATGAAGATATTTGAGTGATTAAGCGAGAATTTATCACTCTAGGTGAATTAAGAAAAATGTTCCACGTGTTATCAAACAATATTGACTATTAAATCCTTACGTGAGGTGGAATGAGATTTAAAAAGAGTTTAAAATTTTATTTAAATGATCAATGACTATAATACTATGACCAAATATAATTTGACATGGCAAACGCACTCCATACTAAAATATCTAAATTAAAATATTATTGACGAAGAGATAATAATTACACTTAAAAACCAGTTATTTATCAAATATATATTAAGTCAAACCATTTATGACTTTTCTAATATTTGAGAGATCATGACACGTTGCTAGATGGTGCACTTAATTTTTAAATATAAATTAATTAATTATTGAATTGATACTAAATTAAATTGTTTGATTTATTTAATTCTATTTATTTAGAATTATAATTTATATTTGAGCCAACAACATATTAGGAATCTAATGGATCACACACATTAAGAACTATTAATCAGAAATTAAACATGGATAATTAATCAAGTGTGACTTGATTGGAAAATAATTTTAGAAATTAAGCACTAAAATGTTTTTAATTTAGAGATTATAATTTTAGTTCTAGAATAATTAAGTAAGGATTTGATTGATTAAATTTCTAAACTTTTCCTTAAATAATATATAATTATTATTTAAGGTGAAAATAAATATTATGCTATTTATAGAGTTTTTAGGATTCCTTATAAATATAAAGCTTTGCTTTAGCACAATAAAATAAAATAAAATATATGAGTCATATAATAGAGAGTTGGCATTCTAGATATAGCAACCCATCTCTTCTAAATAAAAACCATATCTTCTAAATAGGAATTTAAATTTTTTTTTATTAGTGATTCATGTGAATTATGTTAGTGACTGATAATTTAATAATTTATAATTTGCAAAAACTTATTTTTTAAAAAATTATTCAAAGTCAAAAAAATTTATATCTTTAAATAATAAATTTTTAAATAATTTTAAATTTATCTAATAAAATCCTAGAAATTATCAAGTAATTTTATTTTATTTTTTACATTGTCTGCATGATATCTAAGAAACCAACAATCGGTGTATAAATTCTCCTTCGTTTTGAGATCACGTCTACAGAGAAACTAGGAATTTGAACGGTGTTTATCAATTTAGAATCCTTATTGATAAATCCTGCATCGGTGCCCCACCACAAAGACCAACATTATGATAAATTACTAATCTTTTATTAGAAAACATGCTCTGTCTCTAATTATTGGAAAAAAAAAACATTATGATGAAATACTCAATGATTTAAAACACAGAAATTGACAACAAGTGCGACGAAAGGCATCTTGGATACCCAATTCAAATGTTCACAATGGAAGTACAGAGAAATGGGAAAGTTTTGACAGACAAATCCTTCTTTCTTTTCTGCCATTAATGCTTTTTCTTGAAATGACAGGACGTGTTTTCTTCATTAATTATTTCATATAAATCTAGCCACAAGGACATCATGAATTCCTGTTTCAAAAGGGATGCTTGATCGATAGATAGATATGAAAAAAGAAAAAAAAAACTTGTTTTTCCTTCATCCAAAGAAAATTCCTGTCCCAAGATTCAACAATATGGAGCCAGCTGCAAACTTTTTTGTTTTTTCCTTCTTTAATCTACTTAGTTTTAACCATGGAATCAATGCATCTGGTGTATAGCAGCTTATAAGGGATACTGTATTGTATTGGATCTATCCCACTTTCTTGTTCTTGTTTTCTTTCTAAATAATCCCGAGGCTACCTAATATTACATGCCATTCACCAAGGCGCAAAGAAATGTTCTTCATCGTCGGCTCTAATGGAAAGAAAAACTAAAAATAGTGGTAAATGAGGAGGTTGACCTTCCACGAATATCCAAGCATTTCTATGTCTAATTCGTAACTACAGAGGTGGCGAACTGCAAAATTAACAAAAGCTAGATTAACCAGGCAATTCACTGTTGCATCGTCTGCTGCTTCATATTCAATTGTGCAAAAATTTTTCTTGAGCTTTTTTACTTAGCATGATACTTCTTCGTTTATTCAATTTTGCGCGCTATTGTTTTAGGTTTTTCAGTGTTTCAAGAGATTGAAAATCAGGAGACTATAATTGATAAATAGAACAAAAATCAGGATTTATAAGAAGCAAAAAAAAAAAAAAAAACTATGAAATTCTATTCAAGAGGGATTAGAGAGAACAGAAAAAAACAAAGAAAACTAGTTATTAACGCTATCTCGAGGATCAAACGCTGGCATGCACTGCCTGTAATAAAAGAGAATATCGAGACATTCTTGGGCACACCAAGAATGCCAAGTTCTAGTGGCTGAAGGACTCCACATGCATCACTAGAACACGATAGATCCTCTCAAATACTAGGCATGTTCAACAAGCTCCAACTATTTTTCTTCATCTTTTAATAAGTTTGGTCCACAATTGTATAATAGTCTTTCAAATAAGTTCAAAATCACACAAGTTTCTAATTATCTAATAACTTTTCAACTTAGAATCATATCCAATCCAGTTCAAACTCAAACCCAATCCAGGCCAACATGTAGGGGAAAGAAAAACAAGATTTGAAAAGAAAAACAAGAATTGACCCCGATACTAATATATTTTGATTGTGATTATTATCTAGGTGTTGATTTTAACTTTTAAGTTGAGTTGATTTGAATATGAATGATTTGCTTGGTGGACACTTCAAAATTAAAACAAGAAACTGAACTTTTTTTTAGAAAAAATACATTCATATTAACCGGGTTGCTTTTAATCTCATCAAAATCAAATCAATTAGATGAACTTCCATACAATTTACAATCAAGTCGAATGGTTCCAAAGCAAAGACTAATGACACGAAGAAGAGTCCCCCACGACTTGCTCAACTTTCTTACAAGAAAACAATGTGCTTTTAAGATTTTTGGCAGATAAATTTATATGTACTCATCTTGACCGAGACTGCGACTAATGTTTACTAAAAAACAGTTACAGGAAAAGACGTTACCAACATCTCAAATCCATACAACAGAGCTATTACTGTTGTAAATTAGAATGGGGATTTATTGAAGGAATTGTAGGCAGATGACAATTGTCATGGTGGACCCTTAACTTGACCTTTCTTCTCTTCATATAGTTCAAGAGGCAGGTAGCAAAATATCTCTTGTACTCCATTGCTGATTCATTTTAAGCTTCCACTTTCACCATATATATATATATATATATATGCAGGGTATCTTAGGATAACTTGCATTTACCCAATTAATTCTCTATATCCCAAAAAAAATTAACTCTTTTTTTAATCATGAATATTCAAATCAATTTACACGCACCTGGGATCCTAAAATTAATAACTAGTAAGTTTAGTAACATTCACACTGGTCTGGAAAACCCGAGCAAAGTTAAAAAATCCAGGATTCCAAAAATAAAACTTATGGCATGCTGTCCATGGCCATTAGTGCTGCACAGATATTCAAACTAGAGAACACAGATCCCTCTTGGCCCCACCTCTTCACCAACTCAGCTCTCCTCTCACATTTGTTACTCTATAAATTGAGAGTGTGCCCAAGCGTAATACACTGCCAACCCCACAACTCTCTCCCATTCAGTCACTCACACACACATACGAAGTTTTCGGATTTGAGCATACTTTTTTAGGTTCAAGTGAAAATGAAGACATCCTACATGGTAGCTTACACTCTATTGGTGCTTCTTCTGGCTCAAGAACATGTCAAAGTGTCTGCTGTGACGTGCAGCCCAGCACAGCTGAGCTCATGTGTGAGTGCAATCACATCTTCCACCCCACCATCTAAACTATGCTGCAGCAAGATCAAGGAACAGAAGCCCTGCCTTTGCCAGTACCTCAAGAACCCGAACCTTCAGAAGTTTATCAACACACCAAATGCCAGGAAAGTTGCTAGCACCTGTGGAACTCCCTTCCCCAAATGCTAGATGATCTGGTAGAACCTTAATTATATGATATAGAGTTTCGCCTCTCAGTTCTTCTGTATCCTGAATGAATCATGCGGGTTACTGCATGATAGAAGGGTGGCGGAGATTATGAGAGTCAGTGCTTTGTCTTAAAACCTGGTGTGGTATAATATTGTGTATGCTACTAGTAGTGGAGCACTAGTTAATGGAAATAATGTTGGGGTCATGGTCTCATTTCATCAATTTCTGTCTCTGGTGTGGTTTATTGTATACTAGTTCGAGATTTGGAAGGCATTTGCTGCAATATTTTGAAATTTGGAATCTATGATGGATCATTAGTTCATCACATCATGTCCAAAGACTACCGACTCTCTCTCTCTCTCTGAACACAAGCACACACGCATATTCACAGAAATTTTTTGTAAATGGCAATTCCAACACTCACACTTGGGATAGAACTTGGGAGAAATTAAGGGGAGCTACTTCAGCTGAGTAATCCAAGACAAGCTGACCAAGGCCTCCCAAATTCACAAACAACGAAGGTACCGCTCTTTCTTCTCTCCCTTGAATGCTCTTACAATTCAAGGGAAGTAAGCGAGATAATAAAATCTTTCAAATTAAACTGGAATTAAATTACCAAATGATATATGGTTTCAAAATGTAAACCGGGTGTTCGAAGATTCAGTTTCGAGTCTTCAGAAAAGTGTAGCAAAAACCAAGTTTTAAGGAGCAGCTAGATTATATAATCTGGTTCTGGCTTTAGTTACAGCTGAAACCCAGAGTAGTAATACTCAGTTCTCAAACATAGCTAAAGTGGAAAAAGGAGTAATTTTTGTATTGGGTAGGAGTCGAAAGTGGAGGTGACATCAACACCAAGTAGAGAACAACACTAAACGAATTGATGATTCCTTTTTATTGAAATATGAAGATGAAATAACTATCCCAAACCATCATCATCCACAGTGCGCTCAATTGATCACACCATAATAAAAAAGAATCTTGAATGCTTGGAGAGAAACTCCAAAATTCCTTTACAGTGTACAGAAAGGGATCTTGCAAACAAAGAGAAGTGTTTCTCACAAATGTAGAAAGTTTGAAATTGGGTTCCAGCCCATAATCCATGGTCTCTTATCTGTTGGCAGTGCAAAATTGAGTTCGAACATCTCCTTTGACATGTTTCCTCCTTCACAGAACCCTACAAGTTTTGCCACTATATCAGCACTCTCCTGTATATGATTGGCATCATGAGGATCTGTCCACAGTTTGTTAACAAACTGCAGCCTTCTCTGCTTCCCATCAAGTGGGACATTCCATTTGATGTATAATGCATCTCTCTCTTCCATCGTCAGACGTGATGCCAACCTTTTTGCAAGGAACTCCTTTTCACGTTTCAATGCTCTAATACTGCAAGCCAATATGAGACAAGAATTTTAAATATTCAGTCACTTTGAAGATAAGGAAATGAGGGGAAATGCCTGTTCTAATAAACTCGGCAAGAGCAAGAGAGATAGAAAGAACCTTGATGACAGTGATATTGTAGACTCATCTCCAAAATGAGCTGGGCTTGCATTGCCAAGTTCTGCCAAATGCTTCTGCAACCAAGTCAAGCGTCTTAGCTCCACCTCCATGTATATTTGATCAGCAGGGTCACCACTGAATAACAAATAAAACTGTGTCCTATGGATGATGGACACATAGCACACATCCCACAACTCAATGATCAGCTGTCTTTGCTCCCTAAAAGTTACATGCCACGAAACTTGGGGCTCCTCTTGCTCATTTATATTCTCCTCCTCCTCCTCTATATTATATCCAGCTGCTTCATTTGCTTCGAGCTCAAGCACCTAAAGGAATCATAAATATGGATGATTTGTGTTTCAATATATTGAAGGAAATCGGGAAAGAAGTGGCCGCAATATAATTTCAACGTATATGTAAATGAAAAGAATTGGTTGGTGCAGTGAAAATAAATTGGAAGCAGATGATAGAATAGGAATGTAACAACTGTTGTACCTGGCAAACAAGTAGCTGCTTTTGGTATTGCAATTTCGCCACACGTTCTTTAAGTTCAGTCACATAGGCTCTTATGTTTCTGACATTCTCCTCTGCTGCATTCTGAAACATCTTCTGCATTTTCTTCATGTTCACTGAACTTGAGCGCCGATAGCCAGGTGTCCCTTCTCTTGATGAGACATCCCCACCTTCTTCATTCTTTCTACGAGTCTCTTTCTCAGACTCTGGCAGGGTATCACTGATTACAATGTCATCATTGTACGGATCTCTATTCTCAATCTCTTTTTCCAAAATTTGCCGAGAAGTTGATAGAGGAGAGCAAGGAGACCTTATAAAATTCTGTCTGTTAGAGCCGTTACTTGAAGCCAAAGGAAGTATCTTTTTCTTCTTCTGTTGATTCTTAGCCTTGGGAGTTACTTCACAGTTTGATTGTGGATTATTGTTTGGGAGAGACATTACTAATTTGTCTATAGACTTCTGAACATTTTCGAGCTGCTCTTCAAGATCTGCTATAGTGCTGCCCTGTGAATGAAGCCTTGTTATTTCATCCTTGAGATTAGCACTGACACTCTTGTTAGGAGCTACGACACTTCCAGCTTCAATTTCTTTTGGAACTGGTTGGATAGTGCGCATTTCCCTGATTTCTGCTTGCAGTTTAGCAATTGTCTCAGCTGCATCTTGGTTACCCAGTCTATGACAAGCCACCTCCTTCTGGAGTACTTCCAGAGCTCGATTTGCTTCTTCTCCAAGTTGCTCCTGAAGGTGTTCAAGTTTGCGAATTTCATGCATCAACGTGAAAGGTGCAGCTGATGATTGCCTCATTGACTGCCTTAGCATCGTCTTCCTGGTTCTATCACAGCGGCTTGGCTCCTTGCTGTCGAGATTTGGCAAGGATGCATCAGAATAAGAGAGACACTTCTTCACCGATGGGCAGGGTGATTCCAATGTGCTAGAATCCTGTCTATCCTCTTGAAGTTTTCTGCGCAATTCATCCACCTCAAATTGTGCAAGATCTCTTTGGCGTTTCAGCTCCTCCATTTCCATCTCCATCTAGACACGTTGAGATAATAAGATACCAAGGCAATGGATTCATTTGCGTGGTTATAATTTTGAAGTCAAATGAAAGTTGTATGGAAGCTCACCTCCTGAATTTTCATGTCCTTTTCCCTTGAAGGGTCAGGAGTGCGCAGCTCTGCTTCAAGCCTGGCTACTTCCTTCTGCAGATGTTTCACAAGCTGCTTATCTGAAACTACCTAATATAGTTTTACATTAAAAAAAAAGAAAAAAAGGTATCAGTATTTTCATGCTTTGTCATTTGAACTGAGAAGCAAATTCAATTAAACAGGTTGAGAAACAAAAGATCAATACCATGTTAACGTGGGCATTGTTAGTGACTTCCTTAGCTCGTGTGGCAAAGTAAAGGGTATTTCGGGATTGTTCAACATGGCTCAGAGCCGGGCTTAGAGTGCATATGATGGCAGTGCGTGCATTACCACCAAGTGAGTGCTGCAATATGCGAGTAAGCTTCGAGTCTCTGTATGGTATATGTCCACTTCGTTTTCCAACACTATATAGATAAAAACAAAAATACAGTTAACCAATTCAAAAATGGAAATCAGTTCTATATTTTTATGAGAATATGATAGACTTAAGGTACATCAAGTTTTAACAGATGACTTTAGAAAAATCTTGACGAATGTGAGTTCATGTACTGCTATAACTGAGAAAGCATGCTAAGAATAAGAATCTGACCTGAGCTTTCTAATCACAGTTGTCAGAGTCATCAAACTAAGATTAATATGACAACCTTCCCTGAGTCTGGCACCATCTGCATGTGTCTGTGAAGCTCTTTCACTTCCAGCTAGATCTACAAAATTCTGCGAGTCATTGTAATCCAAGAGTTAGAATACATACGAATTACTGCACTTTATATGGCGACTCATTGGGATGGAAAGATGGATGAGCGAAATATGGCAGGAGTTTCTGATTTTTACCAGGCTTGCAACGAAAGATCTCACACAATCTGAATTTTCTCGAAGTGTACTCTCTATTGACTAAATCCAATACCAAAAACAACTCCCATGTTAGCTTTCACAGAAAAACTGTTATAACTTGAAGAATCAATACATAATATGATTCATGAATCTTACCAGCCTTATAATTTGGTGTGACCGTGAACTAGTATCATTAAGGGCAGTTTCCCCAACTTGCCTTTGCGCTACAACACAAAAAGAAATGAGTTAATCAACTGCCAATCAGCTATGTATTTGCAAAGGAAGAAGCTTCACCAAATTACCTTCACAAATACTGATTAAATGCCTTAAATGCTTATCATTACTTGCTGTTTCTTCTACCAACTTCTCAACCACAGTACCTTTCTGCAATTGGGAATCACAGGAAATACAGTAAATGAGAGAATCATTCAGAAAAGCATATGAAGTCATTTTTTACTGTAGAAAGAAAATCACAAATGCAATACCTCCGGGTCATCTAGAAGCTTGAGATTGCGACCAGATTCGGAATTTAATAGGTCCCTGACATTTTCATTATAGATTTCTAGTCCAGAAATCCTAATTGTAAAATCTCTTTCCGGAGTCTGCAGTTAATCCAAAAAAAACGACAAATTTGTAAGGAATATTTTTCTATAAACTCAATGAACTACGCCGGGAATCAGAATCCGACTTTGCATTTTCAAAATCTATCAATAAAATTAAAAAAGGAAAAGAAAGAAGAAGTGAACATGGTCAGATTTTGATAAAGCTTACATTGATTATATGCTTATATATGTCACTAACAGCTTTCTCAGTTATCCCTCTCATCGTGTATGTTTTCCCACTGCTAGTTTGCCCATATGCAAATATGGTTGCTGTAATGTAAATATGAAAGAATTATTAACTTAGTTCAGATGCACTACCAGAACACATAGCCAGATTTACCAATAAGGGAATAGATAATATCACCGTTTATGCCCGTCAAAGCAGACAAAGCAACATTTTTCACTCCATCTTCATACACAGCTTCAGTTATACTAGAGGGATCAAAAACTTTATCTGAAAGAAGAAAAACCTCAACAACTTAATTATGACATGAAATCACAACCAGCCATTATAATTCAAACAACAAAAGCACAAAAAAAGAAAGCTGCAATTAAATTACCAAACACGAAAGAAGCCGGTTGAGCTGCTCGTTCTTGAGAGGGTGGCTTAAAGACAATAGTATGGTCATCAACACAGTCCCAAGCAACTTGGTCTTTAGCTAACTGTTCCTTCTTGTTTAAAGGCCTTAATCTCACAGTAACTACAATCTTCTCTTCTTTTGCTTTAGCCCCTCCTGGGGTTGTTGCTGGTGTCCTATCAATCTTAGAAGCTGGTGTTCCTGGGGTTCTTATTGTCATCTCTTTTGTTGGGTCAAAACCTACTCTCTCTTTGGAATCCCACTCACAAGAGACCCAAAAATGGAAATCACCAGCGTCAGCTTCTCTCACTGGAGAGACTAACAAAGAGGGACCACTCTTTCTTGGATGCAAAAGTCGTTTATACAAATAAGTAGCTGCAAAATCCAATATGAAAACAAGATCAGAGGTTGCATGAAAAAGACTCATTTCTTCTCCTGGTCAATTTTTTTCAGAAAATCAATTTTCTCTAAAAATTAAACAGCAGAAATTGAAAGAGGAAACAAAAAGGTGTCAACTTTTTTCCATTAGCTGTTCACTTTCTGTTAGAAAAAAAAAGATCCAAATGGATTGATCAAATGAAATGAAATGCTTTGATTGCGCTGTCAAATCTTAAATTTTCGTAAATAAAACTAATAACATCCTTTCCAAATTTATGCATTATCCTGTAAATGAACACAGATCAATCACAAAAAGAGAAGGTAACTTGCTATTTTTAAAATGAGTTTTCGATAATCAATGTAAACTAAATCATACAAGGACAGTTAATCAAAACCCTCCAAATGGTAACTAATTTAAGCCTCTAAGTTCTAATAGTTACCTTTAATAAACCTTAGGAATCTACAGATAATCGAGAAAAAACAGCATAACAGGCAAAATAATAGGACAAAAAGTAAATGAAACAAACACTTACATAAATCTCAAGCCGAGATAGCAGATCCAGCGAAGCCGTGATGAAAAACTGGGGGTTTTTTGAGAGTGAAAGAGAGGTATTTCTTGCAGGGTTCCAAGAAAGAGAGTGATTGCTTTGTTTGCCTTCTTTATGATGAAATGAAAAGCTGTGCGGTCATTACATTTTGAATCTGGTTTCTAACGGCTAGTTCGTTTCTAGGATTCTTATTTCTTCATTTTAAGGGCAAACTGCTAATATACTCTCTATCTATTGAGTATATTTCAATTTGGTCCTCTATTTTATTAAATGTTCCCATAATACCATTTATCTGTAGATTGAGTACTAAATTACTAAGTTAACAAAAAGTATAAGACCTATTTCATCAATTTATCAAAGTTTGCTAAAATCTCTTTTCTGATACCCTTTTTTAATGATAGAAGTAAAAGCATGTAATAATAATACCAATCAAATTAATGGCTTGCTGAAAATAGGTGAGAGACCCAAACAATCCTGTCATAGCATTGGTCCAATAGAAGGACCAAATTGAAATTCATACAATAAATTGAGGACATGTTATCCATTTGTGTTTTTAAGGGGTCTTGAAAATGAGATTACATTGTAATTGTGTTGTTTTTTAAAATTATTTTTTATTTTTAAAATTATTTTTAATATTAATATATTAAAAAGATATAAAAAAATTAATTTGAAATAAAAATTAAATAAATAATTTAATTCCTTTAAAAAATATTTTTAAAACAAAAAGAGTTGTTGAAATCTTGATTTTAATTGCAGAGTCAAGCGGGTCCGGGTTCCAAAAGTTTTTATATAACGGTTTGTTTCCTGGTTTGATTATTAATCTTTGCAGACAAAAAGGACAAAAAGGAAAAATACGAATTAAAAATGGGCCCTTTCCAAGAATTTGGCATTATTAGGCGCCTAGACATCTAGTGATTTCTTTAATTTTAATTTATGTACAGTTATAACCATGGTTATAACCATAGTTATCAGATTTAATTAAATCTGGATATTTACGTAACTAAAAAGTTAGGTTTTGTGCTACATAAATTAACTTAAATTAATTTAAGTTAACTAGAAAAATAAATAAAAATATTTAAAATTTTAGTATTTCATATAATTTTTTTTAAAAACAATCAAATATAAATTATTTATATTATTATTAAAAGATTGTTTCAAAAAGACTTTATTACACATTAAAAAAATACTATGGTAGTATGTCATTTTAAGTTAAATTCTTTAAATTAAAAATATTTTTTATCCTACAATAAAAAAAATATAACTTTTACATTGTAAACATAAAATATATATACTAAAATATTTTAAATTTTATATTAAAAAATTAATTTTTTTCTTATGAATATAAAGTATATATTGCAGGGTTTCGAATCTCATATTAAAATAATAAAATATTTTTCTAGTATTTATAAAATAAATTTAAAAAAAAATAACAACCAACTACAAAATATAGAAAAAAAGGAGTCTCTTGCTAGGCAAGAAAACACATTTATAAAAAACAAAAAAAAAAAATTTAATTAAGTTTTATCCGTCAACCAAATTTTGTTAGATTTTTATCTATTTTAATTTTTTATCTCACCTAAACCGATATAGCTACTAAATTAACTCTTCAAATTAGTTTAAATTTAATAATTATGGTTGGAATTGACTTACCTTTGGATGACTTTTCTTGATGTATTGCTTGCTTGACAAAATAAAAAGTTAATTACAAAGACATTTAAACAAAGTTTTCAAAAACTTTGTTAACTTTTTCATGTATCTTTATAAATTGGAGTTGTGATTTTTTTTATTTAATTGTTGAAATGTTTTTTTTATTTATCAGTTTTTATTTTTAATTTTATCTTTAAATATTATATTGATCGGAAATTATGATTTATATTTCACTTTGATTTGTTTTTTATAAGATTATTAGATTATTGTGGTATTAAAAAATATTTCTATATTATATTAATGCTAATTTTTTCAAAAAATATATTTAGTGCTTGCAAAAAAAAAATAGCAAGCACTAAAATTGACAGTAATGCTAAAAAGTAGGTTTTTTTAAACTATTCATCATGCGCCATTTTAAAAAAAGTTTGCCTCCATATTTCTCCATGTATTAAATATTGTTTTTTAATAAAAAAAAAATTATATTTACAGTTTTTAACATATTTTAATAGTTAAAAAAATTTAAGCGAAATTTAATAATTTTATATATACATATAATAAAATAAATTGAAAATCATGTTTATTAATAAATGAAAAAAAAAATAAATAACTAAAAATAAAAGTTAAAAAAATTAAGACATAAGTTTAAATTAAAATATTTAATTTTACAAGAAGAGATATTTACATGACATATTTGCTAAATTTATTTATTAAAATATATTTTTTTATTCAATCAAATAATAATAGAAATAGGTACACACATTAAATTAATTGAAAAAATAAAAGGAAAAACAATTATGCAAAACTAAATATATTAAAAATACTATTCAAAAATAAATATTTTTTATTTTAAAAATAAAATTAATTTATGCAAAAAATTCAAAACAATTATAGATAAATCAAAAATATCTTAAAAAATCTAAAGAATACAAAATAACAAAAACTAATTATCATTTAAAAGAATCTTTCTAAACAAAATCAAAGAGAAAAATGGCATTAATCTAAATATAGATAAAAAATAATTTTAAAAAACAAAATATATAAAAAACATTAATTTTAAAAAATAAAAATAAAATTGTTTTTTTTTTAAATAGAGAAAATGCCAGGGCTTATGGCCTGGCCAGCTTGTCTTGCCCAACATTTTGCGGATAATGTTTCTAATTTTAGTTCCCCCCATCATTGTAGTATTGTATTGTTGCTCATTAGTTCTATATATATATATAGAGGAACTCTTGACATTTGCGGTTTATTTAATTTTCTTCGTTCTGGGTAACTACATAGATGCGAGTTAGTATTAGCTTGTATCATTGAACCAACTTGTGTATTCAATAAAACTAATTCCCTTCTCCAACGATTCTAAGTAGATATGTGTTAAAAAATTAATAAATTCTTCTAAATATTGATTTTAGTATTTGAAGTTACAATATTTAAAAATAAAATAAACTTTTTTAACTGCTAGACTAACCCAAGTTAATATTTTTTTTTTAACTAACATTATGTTAAAAACAAATTCAAACACGTGAGTGTTTCTATAGCATAAATTCATTCTTCATTCTTTCATATTTTATTATGAATAAATTTTATATTTTTTTAATTTAATATTTAAATTTTTAATTTTTTTACGGTTGTACTTTTTTTTTAAAAGCATCAATGATTTTTTTTTCATGATATTAGAATCCGATGATCGCTCTCTCTCCTCTCTCAAACTTATTTTAACTTCCAAAATAGTTGATATTTGTGTCAAATAATTTCATTTGATGAAAAAAATTCATATTAAATTATTGTTTTTACTTTGAAAGTGCCTAGAAAAATATATCTAAACTTAAGAAGATTTTTGATATCAAGTTGATTTCGGGTTTTGGGATGTGTTTTTTTAGACCATGGATAGTTTCATCATGTTTCTTAGGATGTGTTTTTGGGTGTTTTGGGTAACAAATATGTTGAAAAAAGGGTTTTTGGATAAAAAAAACCTTCTACATCGATTTTTTGGCCATTGATTTTGGAAAAATTAGACAACATGTCGTTTGCCTCAGCAAGCGATGAGTTAAGTGATTTTTTTTTATTTTTAAAAATACTTTGGACGAATGCCGATTTTTTTGCCATTGATTTTGGAAAAATTAAACAACATGTCGTTTGCCTCAGCAAACGATGAGTTAAGTGATTTTTATTTTATTTTTAAAAATACTTTGGACGAATGAAACAATTGAATAGAAAAAAAGGGCTCAAGTGCACGACTTGCTAGACTCTAATAAAATAGATTAGGTTGGCTGGCTCGACTTGCTAGGTTTAGCAGCACTTGATTTTTTTTTCTAAATGATTTTTCATATTTTATTAATGCTTATTTAATTTTTTTTCAAATTTTATTTTTTAATTATATTTTAGATTAATACTCATTCTCTTTTTTATGTTGTTTATGAAAACTCTTTTAAATGACATTTTTATTTTAATTTATATGCATTTAATTTTTTAAGAGATTTTTTCGATTTATCTATAATTTTTCTTTATTTTTTTGTATGGATGAATTTTATTTTTAAAAATAAAATATATTTATTTTAAAATGATAATTTTAATATATTCAACCTTACATGATATCTTTTTCCTTTTATTTTATTCATTCAAGTTAATATATGTGTCTATTTGTATTATCATTTAATTGAATAAAAAAATTATTTTAATTAATAAATTTAAAAAATATAATCAGATAAATATCCTATCTTACGAGATTAAATATTTTGATTTACACTTGTCTTTTAATTTTTTCTGTTTTATTTTTTGTTATTGTTTATGACTGTTTTTATTTATTTATTAACATACACAATTCTCAATTTATTTGATTATATGTATGCATATATTTTTTGATATTCATTATAATTTTTTTAACTTTTTTTTTGATATTCATTATAATTTTTTTAACTACAAAAATATGTCAAAAAAGCTTGTGTATATAATTTTTTTTGTTGGAAAAAATATTTTTATTTAAAATAATTTTTGTATTTAATATTATTATCTCATACCCTTAGAGAAGACAACAACACTATGAAACTATGTTATTGATGAAATTAAGTACCCTTACCCTTAGAGAAGACAACAAGACTATGAAACTATGTTATTGATGAAATTAAAGGACATAATAGGGATCCAAAAGAAATTTTGAATATTTTTTAATAAGCTAAAAGCACCCTACAATAAAAAAAAGTCATTGATCTGCAATATTAATTATAAAAATAAAGGTATTGAGTTATAATTTCATTTAAAACAGAAGGACTAAATTTACACCACACCCATTTAATATTTATTATTCACAAAAACTAAAGAATATAGGAAAAATATTGTAGCATTTTTATTATTAACCCTCTCATAATTCACTATAGATTGTAATAATACATTTGTTTTTAAATTTTTATTTTACCCTTAAACTATACACACACACACACACACACACACATGTTTGGGCCATTTTGAGCCCAAATTTGAACTTAAGTGCATTTCTTTTTGGA